AGGCAACCAACAGGAAACTAGACCACGGTTGGCCCGAAAGCAGAACATCGCAAGCGAGGTCCCAACGCTGCAGGATGCGTTCTTTTTCCCTACACGAAGCATTCGTGAAGCAAGCGCGAGACAGCGCCAGGCAAGGTGCTCTGTGCAAGTTGCTCTGTGCAAGTTGCTCTGCGCAAGTTGCTCTGCTCAAGTTGCTCTGCGCAAGTTGCTCTAGGCAAGATGCTCTGCGCAAACTGGTCGGTGCAAGTTGGTCTGCGCAAGTTGCTCTGTGCAACTTGCTCTGCGCAAGTTGCTCTGCGCAAGTTGCTTTAAAATGCAAGTTGCATCTTGCGACGCCCGCCCGCGGACCAGGGAGGAATCGAACCCGCGACCCGCCGGTTCCGGGAGCAGAAATTGCAAAAAACCTCGAGTTTTTGCACCTCGACCACGCCGATCCCCGCAGAGGGTCGCGCGAGCACCGCAGAAATCGCAAAAAACCTCGAGTTTTTGCACCTCGACCACGCCGATCCCCGCAGAGGGTCGCGCGAGCACCGCAGAAATCGCAAAAAACCATGGGTTTTTGCACCTCGACCACGCCGATCCCCGCAGAGGGTCGCGCGAGCAGGTTAAACATCGCAAAAAACCTGGGTTTTTGCACCTCGACCACGCCGATCCCCGCAGAGGGTCGCGCGAGCAGGTTAGAAATCGCAAAAAACCATGGGTTTTTGCACCTCGACCACGCCGATCCCCGCAGAGGGTCGATTTTCGTGTAGTGTCGTCGGCACTACCCCGCCGCCCTAAGAAGAGATTTTAACTCCTCGCAAGTCAATTGCACTTGACTCCTTGCACTTGCAACTTGCACTTGACTCCTTGCTTGTTTCAAGGAGTCATTGCAAGGAGTCATTGCAAGGAGTCATTGCAAGGAGTCATTGCAAGGAGTCATGAGAGCCATTGCAAGTTGCAAGGAGCCAAGTGCATGGAGTCAAGTGCAAGTCGCAAGTGCACGGAGTTAAGTGCAAGTTGCAAGTGCAAGGAGCCAAGTGCAAGGAGCCAAGTGCAAGGAGCCAAGTGCAAGGAGCCAAGTGCATGGAGTCAAGTGCAAGTTGCAAGTGCATGGAGTCAAGTTGCAAGTGCAAGGAGTCAAGTGCAAGTTGCAAGTGCAAGGAGTCAAGTGCAAGTTGCAATCCTTGCCATGACTCCTTGCAATGACTCCTTGCAATGACTCCTTGCAATGACTCCTTGCAATGACTCCTTGCAATGACTCCTTGCAATGACTCCTTGCAATGACTCCTTGCAATGACTCCTTGCAATGACTCCTTGCAATGACTCCTTGCAATGACTTGCAATGACTCCTTGCAATGACTCCTTGCAATGACTCCTTGCAATGACTCCTTGCAATGACTCCTTGCAATGACTCCTTGCAATGACTCCTTGCAATGACTCCTTGCAATGACTCCTTGCAATGACTTTCATGATGATGATTCCTTGCAATGACTCCTTGCGATGACTCCTTGCAATGACTCCTTGCAATGACTCCTTGCAATGACTCCTTGCAATGACTGCTTACAATGACTTTCATGATGCTGATTCCTTGCAATGACACCTTGTAATGACTCTCATGAGAACAACTCAAGTGAACCCAGCGGAAGAACCCTTCGCCATGCTTTCGGGAAAAACAACGTCCAAGTCATAATCAAAACCTTGTATTCCAGGAGTCTACCCCAAAACCTATGGTAAAGAGTGGAGGCCAAATATTCCCCTATCTAAGTCTCCAATCACATTTGGGTCTGCCTTTTTGGTGGTGTGCGCTTGCGAAAAACAGCAGGAATCCCCATTTAGGGGTTCACATCCCTTTTTGGGACAAGCCCGTATTAGGTTGGTAGGCCTGGTCATCAACCTCTTAGGGTTTTTTAGACAATCAATGCAAAAGGTTCCAATTCAGGGACCACCCATGGCGCACATGTGAGCTGTTGGGCTGTCCGCAGATCCTCTGCTAACAGTTTAACTTTTAGTGGGTTAAATCGGAACACCCACTACACCAACTAAAAACCGAAAAAGCTAAGAAACCGGACGGCTGGGAACCGCCAAGCTATTATGCCATTATCTTGTTTGGGTCCTGCCCCCACATCTTAGCCCCCGGGCAGCTCGGCTCGCACCGCCGCATTGTTGTGGACGATGAGATAATGCCCCGGTAAGTCCTCCTGGCTCCAGCGCCTTTTCCGCTTACGAGCTGAACTGCAGTCCGATCGTGGCGGTTTTCGGAAACATCGTGCTGAACAGGTGTTTCGGCGACAAGGCCTTAGCTGTACATTTCTGGGGTGTGAGAGACCTCCGTTGGAAGCGCCCAACTGCAAAGGCCTGGATGTGACAACAGGTTCTTGGACACACTGAAACCAAGTCTCTCGCTAACAACTCAAATCACCAATGTCTGGAATTTGGGCGGCAAATTTGTGCAACGGCTCCTCAACTGCACCTCCAGGTGAATCCATCATTTGCACGCCATGCAAGTGATGGTTGCTCTGTGCTCCAGTCGATTGTGTGTGTGTGTGTGTGTCCCTTGTCTTCAGCTAGTGGATTCCATGGATTTTGGGCAGATCCAAAAGGGATTCGGGGTGCGTGTCCTCTGTCTGAGTGCCAAGCGCTCAAAAAACAAGCGTCAGACTGCAGAAGCACAGGCCGCGCGTCGTTCACAGACTGACCTGACACATAGATCCCCGTGTTTATGGCTTTTTGTAACGGAGCACAGGAACGGAGAGAAGCGAGGCTGGGTCTCTTTCATGAACTTCTGTTCCTTTCTTATCTCCAGTCCACCCCGGAAGGCAGAGGCTGGAGACAAAGAGAAAGTAAAGACAAGAAACAGAGAGATGGATTCGATGGATGGAGAGGCGGGAATGAAAGACATCCTGAAATTCACGAGATTCATGTAGGTTCTCCCGCCTCCATCCCACCTTTTCCTTCATCCCTTCCAAGCCTAAGAACTGTGAAAAGGCTTGGGAAGGAAAAGTTAATGATGAGAGCGGCTCCAGAGAAATCCTATAATAGCCGCTCTTGGCCATCTCTACATCCCACCTTTTCATTCCAGAATTTACCCTAGGAATGAATGGGATGTGGGGATGGCTTCCCGTCTTTTCTAAGACTCGCCTTTGGAAGGGACAAAGAGGCGAGAGAGACAAAAGACAGGAAACAGAGAGGTAAGTGAATCAACGGCGAAGCCAGGTAATGAATCTCCTCTTCGCACTCTCTCTACTCTCTATTTCTCATGCATTCGCCAGCCTTAAGAATCCATAGGTAGCCGCAGGAGGCATGGGAAAGAGAGAAGCCCAGCGACAATTAGAGATAAGATGCATGTGGCCGGATAACTATGATAGAGGGAAGAGGTAAGTGAAGTCATGAATCTCCTCGCCCACTCTTTCCCTTTCATTATCATCTCCTCACCATCCGTCTCTCAGACACACAGTGGACGGTGACCGAGATGAAAGGGAAAGGGTCTCGTCTCTCACTCCCAACCTAAGGGAAACCAAAGCAACAACACAATTGTTTCGTTCTCTTTGTTTTTTGCTTTTTTCTTGGGGGGGTCCCTAAACAAGAAAGAGACACGCCCAAATCTGCACGAGGAGGGATAGTGTGCCTGTCCAGGAGTACCAGGAAAGAAGAAGCCATTCAGACAACCTTACCTTTGGCAGGTCTCATTTGAGCTCGCATTGAACCCAATTTACAAGGCCGGCGCTAGCATGGGTCAAATGGCCAATAGGACATGGTTTTGTGCGCTACTCGCTTAAGCGACAAACCCGCATGTGTTGGGTGCATTCTCCATTATCTTCACCCATCCTTCTGCTAGATGCTCTTTGGGTGACCTTAGATGGGCTTTACAATGAATGCACACATGATTGTCCGGTGGGAATCGGAACTCATTGGAACCAGTTTAATGGGCCCCTTATCTCTGTACTTTTCAGCTCTCGCGTATTTCCGGAACGCCGCCAACTTTGGGCAGAGTCTGCCATGGCCACACCTCGATTTCCACATCCCTCCAAAAGGGGTTGGGCCAACCCCTCGTTTAAACATGTTTCGACCGCTATTACTAAACTGAGCATGCTTGTGGTGTCCTGTTAAAGGCAACCGGGCCAGGTTTTTTTTGAGCTTTGCCCAACCGTTGGGGAAAAAACAAAACGCCTCCTTGGCAGACCCCGCTGAAGAAGCCCCCCTCCACGTCCTAAGATGTCCACTACACCGTCCTTCCTCGGGCCACGGGATATGGAGATACCTCCTTTTTTTTGGCCATCCACTGGTTATGTATGGGATCCTGTTCAGTGGCTTCTTTTGCAACCAAAAGAAACCCGAACAGTCGTTCGAGTCCGATTCCCTTTGCCGACATTTTCCATGGGTGAGCTCATCTTACCCCATCTCTTTCTAACTTGCCCTACCAGCTTCCCGGCTCTAACCTGAAAAGCTACATCTGCGCCAGTCAAAAAAGAAAAACACCCTTTTGTTCACCTGATTTGAGGTTCCCCCTTCAAGCCGCGGGGTTTTGGGGGTGTCTCTACTCGCAGTCTAAGGCACCTCCGCCTCCGAGTGCTCATCCGAAGTCGCCTTGAGGGGGCTTCACCTGCAACTGATGGCATTTCAGGGAAGAAGGGATCCATAATTCTGACAACCTCCTCATACGGCCCAAGATGCCTGCTTTGAGAGAGAAAGACATCGGCTGGATTTGGTCTCCAAACACGGCTCTTTCATGCCGAGACATACCGTCGAGAATCGGAAACATCCCAGCGGCTGCTTGCCGCCCCCTTGGGGGCACTTGTGTCGAACTGCATCACTTTTCAGAGCTCAGAGGTACATCATCATGCCATATTGTGGATGGGGAAAGAGGGAAAACAAAAACATTAATGTGTCATACCCAGAGGGAATCTTGGCCCCAATTGGATCGTGTCTGGTGGCATTTGGGGACGCCTTCCAGGATCCAGGATCCCAACCTTGCGGTGGAAATGTCTGAAAAAAACTCGAGAGAACGAGGGAAGCCTGGCCTAGGCCATCATCTTGCTCGCGGCCAGGCCGAAGCTGATCAGGACCGCTACAGCGACCTTGGACTGTTCAGGTTGTGTGGAGGTCTCGGGATTTTTTGACCACTGATATGAGGGGGTTGTTTTTCTTGAAGTGTTTTCATACGCCACTGATATGACTTAGGAGTATTTATATACTCCCGGAATCTCCTTAAGTGGTATATCACCACACCCCAAACAAGTTTCCTGAACATGCCCTGGAGAAGACCATGTTTGGTACCTGGTCCCGACAAATGCATGGAGCAAGGGAAGCGATCAGGATCACAATGGCGTATGTTTCGTTTCAAGGGAAACCTAAGGACGACTGACCGTACGTTGCAGGGAGGAAACCAAAGGCCAACCGCGAAAGGTTCTTAGAAGCTAGACAAGTTTCTTATATTAGTGTTCCGACCTTTCGTCTTCGGGCTCTGCCTCTGTTGGGGGTTGCTCAAACCCATTTTGCCAACCCTTTGACTCCACTCATCAGGAGCTGTTCCCTTTTCTAGCAACATGTGGGCGATTGGCGATTTGAATTCTTCGAGCACCAGCTCAATGGATGGGCCTTACAAACATCAACCCATTTTTGTTTCTGCCGTCCACCCAAGGGTTCATTCTAGATCAAACAACTCATACCCCACTGCCTCTCGCAGGCTTCTCTCTCCCGTCCTCTGCTCTCAGCTTGCGGCGATCCCTGAGATGTAGGACTTCCGCCCGAAGCGCTCCTGCAGGAAGAGGACCAGCGAGGTGCCGCAATATGAGGCTCCCAGGTTGATCGCCTCAGCTTCTCTCTGGGTGCTTTGGAGGGGCTCCTTTCCCTTGACCCTCTACAAGAAGCAGCGGTGCGACACCACCAAGTACAGGTTACCTGATCTGCGTCCATGAAAGTGCCATCCTCAAAATTACCCCTCTGCATGGGGATGTCTTTTAGGGGACCCAAAAATTGGTGGCTTTCCTTTTGGTACTCCAAAAATAACACCAAGAAAGGAGCGTCCTCAAAACAACGCACGCACAAACGTTGCTTGAAGGGTTTCCCCCCGTCCCAGTCATCAAATGAGCACCCCTCGAAAAGCAAGTTTACAGCAAAGAGTACATTCGAGCACCCGTACATGTCTGTGGACCCAAGTACAGCTTGCCCTTAAATGGTGCTTTGGGTGTGTGATTGGGAAGTTGGAAGGTGGCTGTCCAACTATCCCTAGAAGATAAGCAGGGGCTCAAATCCCCAAACCAATCCATTCCAAACCCCAAATAAGGGTTACCCACCAGAATGACTCCCCCCCAAGAAAAACCTTGTGCGTTGCCCTCCTGAAGAAAAAGAGACTTCCCCAACAAAAGCAAAAGCAGATGTCCAAAAACGGCGTCCGAAGAATCCCAAAAACCGCACCAACAACCTCTCAGAGCCCTCCGAGCAAATCAATACAGGGCAAGTCAATGTCAAGCCGCGGAAATTGCCTTCATCATGATGGGTCCTGTTTGGCAGCCCTGGAAAAGTGTTCCGATCCTGAGTGGGTGGCCAGCGGAAACCATCATGAATACATGGGCGAGTGACGCCATAAAAGAGCGCCAAGGACATGATGATCCGTCCAGTGAGCAGGTACTGAAAGGTCGTGGAGGCTGAGGTGAAGATGACGCCTCAAGGCTTAGGTGAGCAAAACTGGGTAAGGAAACCCATTAATGTGATTCGGGGTCACAAAGGAAGGGTGGCCAAAAGGCGGTTGCTGTTTAAATCTACCTTCAAAACTTTGGCAGCTCGCAGGCGTGGCATGGATACAGTTGGGTATGTGGACGCCGGAGTCAATTCCAGCAATTGTTGGCTTAGCCATCGCCGTACCCACAGAAGCGGAATTGTGCCATCTGTGTTACATTGGTGTAAGCGGAAATTCTGAAAATGGACGGGTTCCTTGTGATACCAAAGTGGCATCCCCAGAACCACTTTATCACTTTGCTTTGGCCAATTGCCTGTTTGAACATCTTCGAATAATCAGTGCAGCACAGTCTGGGCTTGGTCAATAATTCAACTGGCTCAGCAGATGACATGTGGGCATTAGCGCTTTGACGTGGATTCCATTCGTATCACAGAGCATTGGCAAAAACCAAGCTTCCAACCACGTATGAATAATATGAGTACAATTATAGATTGGTAGTTCATGTTCGCGTAAAGTTCTTGAGTTTGTTGTTATTTTAAGTGGTGGAGAATCACAGATGGGCCGTGTTGGCTCATTTAGGCGTTTGTCTAATTTGTTTGAGTGTTGTATAGTAGTGATACCAAACTTCTAATTTACGTATAGCATTGTAAAAATAAAACGCAGAACCTGTATGCTTAAAAACGTGGATAAGAGTTTAGTGCGAACAAAAAACTCAAACACCTATGTCAACCCTATCAAACATATGTTGAACCGTGACAACAGCAACAGTAAGATGTCATTAAACAGTGAACATGCTGAAATTCCTTGGTTTAATATTTTGTATGAGTCTAAAAACATATTGACAACTGCACTGAGAAAACTATATACACTCATTATTAGTAGCATGTCAAAACACAACGTAAAAGTATAATTTGTGCAAGCTCTGTCTTATGTTACTTCCTCTTTACAATAAAGATAATTGCAATTGCAGCACTTCCGGACTAAACGTCTCATACCAAGACTGCTTATATTTGAAGGACTCTTACTATCGATGCGTAATGTTGTGTTTGTGCTGTGATCTAAAATTCACAATAGGCCCCCAGAATAACATCTCAATGACCATTGGCCCTACGGACCAGTGCCTATTTAAACTATATTACTCTGTATGCATAGCCTCACATTTGTGGTTAACGCAAAATGAATCGTCAACTAGAACAGCAACCCGATGATTGTTTCTTCTAATATAATGGCTTATGCAGAGCCACAGATTTGTGGTCGAAAAAAGATCGGTCGTGGTTTCCCGGAACTCCAGCGGCCATTTCTTGGAGAACATATGGCTGTGGGGCAAAAACTGGGTAACCCCAAAATGGAACCTTGGTAAATGGAAACATGGACTAAAACCTGCGGTTTTTCTGGGGGTTTAATTTTGGCCCACACCCATATCAAAACATGATTTTATTGCAAGTGTTCTGGAATTTGCTGTACGAAATATTCAAGGACACATGCAACAATGCGTATACAACAAAACAAACATACAAGACAAATCGTAAACAACGGCATGAACCTACTTCCTGTGATTACTTTGTCATGTTAACCAAGCATTCCTTCACAGAAGTGGCTAATGGTCAGAACCACTCGCTGGCTACAAAGGCCACACGCACACTTTTTTATGCGGAACACTGTTTTGGTTCAAAGGCGAACCAAAAGAAAGCCCTTCCTCGAAGGACAAGCCAACAACAGCAGACCAGTTTTTGTTGCTCAGTTTCGGCTGGTTTTCCACTCAAAATTAACTGAAATTGAAGGGTACCCTGGCTTGGTTGAAACTTAGAGACTGCATGTCATTTCCAAATGGGTACGCGTCAAAAACCCAAAAAGGGCACCCTCAAAAAAAAAGCAGACAAACACACACGAGCACACAAATGGACCATAGACTCGATCGTAACTGCATCAAAGCCAGGGCGCAGGTAGAGGAGGTCGCGACGCCCACAGAGGGATCCACACCCATCAGCAAGAAGAAGGGGCTGAAGATGAGACCACCTGCAAGTTGGCCCCTTGGGTGAAACTAGACGCAATGCCCCCATTCATTCGTCAGCTGCATTTACCCTAAAGGACACACATCCCCTTCGCCTTTTGAGTGCCTGACTGGTCCGGGTTCAGACCTTGCCCTATGAGCCATGGCCATGCCTTGCTTCCCACCAAAGGCCTGGGGCCTTCTCAACTGGTTTCCCTGTGCTCCTGTACAACTGTCTCAAAGGGTGCAACTCATTTCCACCAGATACCAAACAAAGGAGTTTCCCAAATAGTATGTCTAAACTCAGGGGTTCGGTTCTTACGGTATGAGATCAGGGCGCTCGCCCTGGGCTGTGCGTTTCCTCTATGGTGGAGTGGCACCCCCTCTGCGGACTTTGGACGTGGTGAAGCGCTGTCGCTCTGGCGCGGCACGCGTTTTGAACATCGACATTGAACCCTCGGACTTTGGGTGGCTCGGATCGCTCTTGCTGTGGGGTGTGCAAATTACACACATCGAAGCACAGGACTTAGGACTTGGAAGACTCTCTTCTTGTAGAGGGAGCTCTCTACAGATCCTGGACGGAGAACTTTGATCTACGGAGGATCCTCTCATGATCCTGCACACGAATCTTGTCAAGCAATCGTATCAAGAGATGCTACCAGGAGATCTTACGCAGAACCTGCAAAGATGTCATTCGACAGATCTTAGAGGATGCCTACAGATGGTGAAGAGAGAACTTTGTAGAAGGTTCTCTCGGAGATCCTTGCCAGAGATCCTATCAAGATATCCTAAGCTTCTGCAAAGCGCTTGCAAAGATCTTGTCCAGGCCTTACAAAAACATCGGTTGACTTTCCCGCGGAAAACAACTTGACTCTTCAAAGCACCACATTGGTGCTACTGGTACCTTAATCGCGAACGGTGCATCCTTTACGCCGCATAAGGATTAGTGCCAAAATGGGAGGATTGCCCAGCTCCACTGGGCAGCTCCCCTCAGCAGCTGATGGGAGTAGAATTGATGCCACTCCCACAGCGAGGGAGGAATCCTCCCACCTCACCGGATGCCCTCCCGGCATCATGGGTGAGGAAGGAAAGTAGCGAAGATCAGCTTGATCAATTCGCTTTCGACTGAGGGGAAGACCCGGTTCTCAGTCGGAAATTGCGGGTCCGGATGAGTAAGTTCATCCGCCCATGTGTTAAAGTCGCGCTTCACATGCGACGGTCCTAACATGACCTGGTGGTCATGCAGTGTTAACACAATTTCCATGAGGATGGCCGCATTGGGCATCCTGCGAGTGGAATCGTTAAGCAGGGAGAAAACGTTTCCCTGGTTATCACTAGCAACCAGAATCCTAGTGTGAGAAACCGAGCCGGCTGCACAAAGCAGAACAGCCCTCACCAAAAGGAGGAGGCCGAAGAGCTCCAAGGCCGCTATCGCCCGCTGCGGGTCCCCAGTAGTGAAGGCCCACGGCTCGCCCTCCGGTGTGATTCTGTGTTGGAACCACTTCACTCGGGACTTGTCGGGGTTGGGCACGTCCGAGCACCAACCACCAACCCATGCATGGTCCGCCTGTTTGCCAGCTCCCGCATCAGATGCCCCCGTCCATGGAAGTGTGGGAGCAAATGGAGATGCCAGTGGGAACCTCTGGTTGAAGAGCTTCCCCAGAAGGATGGCCAGAGCACGAACCAGTTTCGGTGGCCTGCCCGAAGTGGTGCAGGCCTTCTTCCAGCTCCAGAAGGGCTGGAGGAAAGGTTTCGTCAATGGACACGCCGAAGTAGCCCATTGAATCCGGCCCAGGGCTTGTTCCACCTCCTTGCTGGTAAAGATGTCCCCCTGGGCCAACCGTTTGAGAGTGGCCAGGATTATGACGTGCTTGACTGGAGCCAGCAGCACACAGGGCGTGATGGGGTCCACCACGAATCCCAACCAGGTATTGACCGGGGAGAGCGCCGTCTTCTTCCAAGAAAGCGGGACTCCCAGCGCCAGAAGAGTGGCCAGGATGGCTGTGGCGTCCCAGTCCGCCCTGCTGCATCTGAGGACCCAGCAGTAGTCGTCCACAAAAACTAAGTGCCAGTCCACCTGAGGGAAGATGTAGTACAAGAGTCTGAGCACCAAGGATGCCTTTCTTCCCCAGTACAGTTGTGCCGAGGCCATGCCGTACGTGCCCACTCTATTGACCCACCACCGGTTCTGGATGCAGGCCACCTGGTATTTCCAGTCTTTCTGGAGCACTTTGATGCGCCTGTGGGCCTTGGTGACATCCGCCTTGAGGGTGATGAAGGTTTCCCCCTGTGTCGGCGGCTGCCACGTCAGGGGTTCCCCCCTGCCTGGGGGGGTTGGGGGGAATGGGGCCCTCCGATCAGGGCCCTCGGCACCTGGGGGTGGCCCCTTCCCTGAGGGTGTTGACCGCGGAGAGACGTCCAGGCCGCCTGAGGTCTCCATCGGCCCTCGGCACCTGGGGGCGGGCTGGTGCTGTGGGGGGCCCTCTCAGGGCCCTCGGCACCTGGGGACTGCCCCTGCACCGACTGGCGAACATCCCGAGGTTCCTCATCAGTGCCCGAGGATGGGGCTCGGAGTAGATGAGGATGGTCCGCCGCTGTCCTGAGCCAATGTGAGCCTGGATGTGTGCGTTTGCTCCCCCTTTTGAGCCATCATAGATCGTCCTGATCTTGTCCGACTCATCAATCCCTGCAAGGGGGCCCGGGCAAAGTTCCTCCGGTTTGCAGCGGCACCTCTCTGCCGCCTCGGAGCGAGTGAAGGGCCCGTCCACCATGTCCAAGGCTCGTTCCTCGTAAAAGGTTGATTCGATTTCCTTGGCAAAGAGTTCAGCCGTTGGGTAGTTACCATGAGCCACTGGCGGGGGGGGATCTTCCCCCAGCCAGGCTTCTCCCTTAAGCTCCTCCTTAGTGGGCCAAACTTTCGGGGAGGTCAAGGTAGGGTCCGAGACTCCCAACGGGACCCCCTCTTTCAGTGTTAGGGGGAATTCCCAATCAGGGTCACCTGAAAGGGATGCCAAGTGCGACACTAAGTCCAGGAGGAAGGGTTGTCCTGGGCATCGTTCATGGAGGTGCCTCGGTCCTAGGATAGCCCGCAGCTCTTCGAGATGCCAGAAAACATTCGGACCTTGTCAATCCAGGGACGGGTAAGGGACATGATCAGGGCGCCCAAAGTAGCCAATGGGGAAATTCTCCGAAAAGGGGGGTTGAGCCATTGGGGAAGGTTTTCCCCCCCCATCCCTCAGAAGGCGTGAGCGGAAGCCCAATTGGACAATCGCCGCCCGGTCAGTGAGGTGTGGGACCCTGAAGGCGGGCAGGCATTCGGGGCGGTCCAGGACCTGGTCCCCCTGTCCCTCCTTCCCCAGTTGTTCCGCATCTCCGGCCATCGGGGGCATGGGAGATGGGAAGTCTGGGTTCATTGTTCCACGAGGGCTTACGGTGTCTGCCTCAGGGTGGAACTGCCCGTGCAGGCGGGGCTTCGGGGCGTTCTTGCCTCCGGGCTTTGAGCCCTGGTGTGATGAGGAGGGACCGCCTCCTTGACTGGGCCCCCGTTTTCCCCGGGGGGAATGGCCTTCCGGGGGGTCCGACCCCCGCCCCTTAGGTGGTCCCTTGGGGTTTCCCGGAAGTTGTGAGGGGATCCGGATGTGCCCCGGCGCTGCGAGTGACACAGCGATGGCTTTGGCCAGGCCTGCCATCATATCCCAAGGGTATCTGCTAAGAGTCGAGGACTCGTTGGTGCCCACATGTGACTGATGCGTGCACCGCATTTGATCCCAGTCCTGGATCGGGAGATCCGTGGCCAGCGTAGTGGCCTTCTTGACCAGCTGGCCCAGGCGGCACTGGTCGAAGGAGATTGCTGTCAAGGAGTTCTCCTCCATCCAAAGCTGCCCCTCCTCTGTGATCCAGAAGGATGAGCATTCCTTGGCTTTGGGCAGCGAGCTGCTCACCACTGGGTCCTCCGGGTGTTCCAGGAAGGACCTGGGCCCTGGCAGAGAAACCGCCGCTCGTGAGGCCCTTGCCAGGCTGGTGATGTACATCTGTCTCAGAATGAGGATGCTGTCATCATCAAGTTGAGTCTGGGCGGCCTGGTCCAGGTGTGGAAGGCCCCAGAGTGTCTCTGGAGTGCGCCCTCGCACCGGGGTGGGAGCCCCCGGTTTTGGTATGTGGCGCAGGATGGACCATGTCCTGCAGTTGGGTCCTCCTCCAATGAAGACCACTCGGCCATGCTTTGCTGCCGTGCAAAGAGCTCCATACAGCTCGGGTTGGAGCATATCGTGGTCCCCCTTTGGGTCCAGACCGTAGGATGTCTACCGCCACCACCATGCTGGAAAGGTGTGGGTAGTTGGCATGAAGACAGCTGTCCAAGGAAGTAGGGTCCTCCTTGCCTGCATAGAGCAGGACAATGATGGGCCCACTGGATGGAACTTTGGGCGATGTGCCCTGTGTCCATCTCAACCGCTGTACCAGACGCTCAGGGATGTTCTCCATCCACGGGAAGATATCCAATCCCGGTGACGGCTCCGTTGGACTTGTCAGGGGGGTAGCTGAAAGGCGTTGGCCCCCTTCATTCAGCCCCACCGAGCTCTTGTGGAAAACCACCGGGTCCTGCTTGATGATGTTGGGCGCCGGAAGTGGGATCGGCTGCCTCCTGGGAGTGTCCCTTGGCGTTGCGGTGTGCTGCCAGTCATCCGGCACTCGGGCCTTCTGGGTGCGGCCCCCCGTGTCAGGGCCCTCGGCACCTGCGGGGAACCGTCCCGTCCCCGCCATATCAGGGCCCTCGGCACCTGTGGCTCGGGACTGAGGCGCCGCCGTTGTGCCGGTTGTGTGGCTGTTCTGATCACGGCGAGGGCGTTGTACACGCTGGTTCTGCCGCCCCCATCCTTGTTCCGCCGAGGATGGCCGCCACCTGGCCTGTCCCCCCCCTGTGTCAGGGCCCTCGGCACCTGCAGGAGGGGGCTTCTGTGCCTGCTTGGGGCGTTTGCGCCCCTTCTCGCCCCCCCGGGCCTTATCAGGGCCCTCGGCACCTGAGGCC